TAACACCGTAGATGGTTCATACTAACTAGGCAACATTTTCTCATCTTGGCTAAATTAATGTTATGACCTGCTGTCACGAAGAGTAGAAGAGACAAGTAGCCTTGGGCAGCGATGATGATCAGTGTTACAGCCCTACTTTATGTATAATATATTAACAATCAGAAATACCATTATACATATCAATTATCCTTGCTAATGTTACCTCTTCCCCTCCGGCTATTTTCCCCTCCTCAAAAAAAAAAAAAGTATTCACATCTGTTAACTTGTTATTATACTCCATAAATAGTAAATCCGTACTCTTATTTCTAGTGCACTGTTAACCTGAGCTTGTCTTCGCAGCTCAAATAAATGTAGGGCACCTAATTTTGATTTACAAATTAAATGTAAATACCTACACAATTATGTATAGTTTCCAAGTCTTTGCTACTTTCATAATCATGTTAAAAATCTCAAATTCAGTGTTTCTCAACATTTTTACCCTTGCAGAAGCCTTGAAATAATTTTCATGTCTCAAGGAACCCCTACTTAAAAATTATTAAGCATCATTTTTAATATCTTTCTTTCTCTTTTATAAGCTTAAAGTTCACAAGGAATTTTTTTTTTCTGATAACTAGTTTAAGCAAAAAAAAAAAAATTAAGTTTTTCTTAAGTTTGTTGACAATGCAAAAAAAAAAAAAATGAAATCAAACTGCTTGTTCAAGAGACCTCATACGGAGGTTTTCATTCATACAAAAAAATTAACCATATCTGTAAACAAAAAAAAAATAAACATAATCAATATCATATATAACATAAACAAAACGAATACAGACAATAACTACTATAATAATTTAACTGTTTATTGATAATGTTGAAAAGGCAAAAGATTAATCAAGGCAAATTGTCATATGAACAAATATATGGGTCAAGGAAATGTTATTTTTGAAGCCAATTTAGATAATGAAATTTGCTTCTCTAATGTGAAACCTGTGGTTGTCTTTTGGTACACAAATACTTCGGGGTCGAACTTTAGATAAACACACACGGATTTCATCTTCATCTGAAAGGAGACGATTTCTGTTTATGCTCTTGATGCTTGTTAAATAAGAAATAGATTGCTCACACATGTAAGAGGTTGAAAACTGCAGTGAGGCTGAAAAATCGAGTCACTTGATGATACACGAATCCATCACGTACAGATCCTGTCCACGGACCACTAAAGGCGGTTTCACACTGGTGCCGTATAGACGTCGCTAAATATATTTATTCCCTATGATTATTATTATTTTAAATGATATAACGGGTTGAAGACCTTATTATAATACTCATGAATTTTCCATGAATATTCTGTACTTGTATAGTAACACTACGAATATAAAATTAAGCACAAAAATGACTCAAAAATGCATTTACATATGATTAGCCTATGTATCATTATTTCTCAGGGAACCCCTAGGGACCTCTAGCGGGGAACTCCGGTTGAGAAACGCTGCTCTAAACTCTTCCACTTTGCTTTATAAAACTGAAAGATGCCAATGTATATATCTGTACTTTTATGTAACTTGTACTTTATAAGTGGTCATTTCGTCTGTCTCCTGAATATCATCTTTTTAAATGAACATCATTAAATACACCGCAGTGTGTGGACACCATTTGCTCATCAATTGAATACTTCAGCAAGTAGTTGAGTTTTCTTACACAGCGACACAAAGGAATAACCAATTATAACATACAGCAACAGAAAAAAAGTATATATATAATTGTAAGATAAAGGTGATAAAAGGTTGTCGAGCGAACTCCGAGCGTGGTAAACATAACTATGTGAGATTTTCACTAGTTAAGGTCCAAGTCTCCCACTGGCTTAATTAAGCCAATGGCCCAACCTAGTCAGATCAGTTAACATCCAATTAGGGAAGAAGCCGGTATCAGATCTATTAGCACAAGCTGGTCAGGTCCAGCTCACACTCACTCATGTATTTATCTAACCTATTTTTAAAACTACACAACGCTTTAGCTTCTATGACGGTACTCGGGAGTTTGTTCTATTCATCCACAACTCTTGTACTAAACCAGTGCTTTCCTATATCCTTCCTGAATCTGAATTTTTCCAACTTAAAACTATTGCTGCGAGTCCTGTTTTGGCTGGATAATTTTAGCATGCTATTTATATTCCCTTTATTTATTCCTGTTTTCCATTTTTATCAGTAACACTGCTTAAGGTGCCTTCATCAGTCATTCGTTTGACTGTCTCCATATCAGTGAAGTGATGTCTGTAAGATGGCGAGCTGTGCGACACGTTTCCTAGAATATAACGTTATTCCAGCAGGAGTGGAACTTCTAGCAAATCTGATCAACCGGGCTGTTGGACTGTGGGCGGCGGGCACTAACAGCCTGATCGATCGATCCAACAACCAGGTCTGGTCTGGGACCGGGCCATGGAGGCGCTAGTCTTTGGAAGTGAGGTACAATACAAAAGAACATAAGAAATGAGGAACACTGCAGCAGGCCTATTGCCAGGAGAACTAATAAGGAACAATGTTGTAAAGAAAGAGAATGCCAGGCTAAAGGTCATCTACAGACATTCACAGTGTCTGCCAAATGAGGCTCACAGGACCCTGTCTAGCTCTCACACAATGTATTATAGACTACTCTTGCTCTTCATGGTACTCTGCCTTACAAAAAAAAATGAAAGATAGGCTACAAATCACCCAGAATAAAATGGTGAGATTCATTCTGGACCTGTGCCCAATAGAACATGTTGGCCCAGGATGAATTACAACAACTGGACATCTGAATGTTAAAGACAGAGTAAATCAACTAAAGCTAAATTATGTTTAAAAAATTGCTCGCAACCACTGTCCCCAGTATCTTACTGCCAATTTTGTTAAGGCCGGGAACCAATGCAAGTACAGAACTTGGGGAAGGGAGAAGCCTTTGCCAGGCTTCGAAGACATTTTTCTATTCAGCAATAAAAGAGTGGAATAAACTGCTTGCATATGTCAAAGTCTGTCACATCATGAGTCAGTTCAAGAAGAGAGCCAAAATGTACCTCATGAATAAAGGGAGAAGAGAGTGATTTCTTGTATGAAAATAACTAATTTTATCTCTCCCCAAGTATATCTTCTTTTATTGTCACTGCTTTTACATATTTAAGATACTTATCTGCTTTTAACTTTTAAATATACATAATAATTGTGAATTATTATGTGAGTAAATTACCTGCAGGAGATTTACAGGGTATTACCTAAATTATTACCTGCAAACAATTTGGGTGAGGTAAGTGGGACTTAAGTCACAGTAGATCGCAGGACTGTAACTCCCTCGATGCCCACTCCCTACAAAAAGTTAGACCTGACATTAAATTAATAATTACAATATTAAAACCAGCTACTCTGGTAAATTAAAATTGTGGATTGTATATGATTAGGCTTGGTGGGTACACAAAATAAATTTGTTTTACCACTTACCATTTAATTACTGTAGATGGATCACACCACAACACCTGCCTGACACCTAGACTCTACACTGGCCAGCTAGAGATCTAAATGCAAGGACTAATGGTGCACTTCCCTGTGAGTGATGTTTGTATCCTTTATCTTCTGCCATCCACATAATTCTTGACGTCCCACAAATTTCCTGTCCCAATTCTTCAGCAGGACACGTTAACATGGGTTCCTAATTACAAATTCAGGTCGAAACCCCCCAATTTGTCTCGGAAGACACCGGATTATTAGGAGAATTTCCCACGACAACCAGTGTTCACATATTACAAAATGGCTTCTCCCCCAAATTGTGAGTTCATTACCTTTGTAAATTTGAGTTCATTACCTCTGTAACTTGCTCAGCTATCAAAACTTTGGAGTCCAGTCCCTGGACCAATTATGTACCTCTGTAATTTTTTGACTACCGCCCACAGGATGGGTATGGGGTGCATAATAAACATATTAAACTAACTAACCCCGTCGTCTGTCAGCAGCTGTTCTACACCCCTCTCACTCGAAATTGTGTGTGACTCAACAATCAATATTTGCACCAATAACTCATTATAGTTGTGACCGGGTGTGGAAGTGTGAATTGCTCATTACACTATAATTTGTTCATGATTGTAGCCATGTATAAACGTAAGTAACCATTCTTACAGAATTCATTACCTTTGTAATTTGTGAGCTCATTACCTTTGTACCTAGTTCAGCTATCAAAACTTTGGGGGCCCAGTCCCTGGGCCCATTACGTACCTCTGTAATCTGTAAATACCTTTGTAACTTGTCATGATTGTGACCAAACCTACCTGGAGTTCATTACCTTTGTAAATTGTGAGTTCATTACCTTTGTAAATTGTGAGTTCATTACCTCTGTAACTTGCTCAGCTATCAAAACTTTGGAGTCCAGTCCCTGGACCCATTATGTACCTCTAATCTTTTGACTACCGCCCACAGGATGGGTATGGGGTGCATAATAAACATTAAACTAACTAAAAACTCACTCGAAATTTCTCAAAAGCGTCAAATCAGCATCACATTTTATTACAAATTTATTGTATTATTCAAATTTACACATGCTGAATTTGGGAAACTCCAAAATTTTCCACAATAATTATCACAAGGACCCCAATGGACATAAGTCAGTCTGTCTGACTTTTTTTGTTATCCTAGGTTCTCTACACATATGCTGCTATGTATGATAATCAATGTAACTGTGTATACCTGAATAAACTTACTGACCCATACTAGGCAGGTCTTTCTCAAACATAAACCCATACAAATACTTTATTTTAGCCCTCCTTTGTTATAGAAACATATAAAATATATCAAATATAAAAACGTATATTTAACCACAAGCATCTAAATAATACGAACACACTGCTACACGTCTGGCGACGAGGTGACCGAAAATAAAATGTTGAAATTTAAACGTTTGCCTCAGTGCGAAATTGTTGTGCATGGCATGATAAGCATCACTAGTTTATATATAACCCTATGACGTAACAATTAAGAAACAACATCTGTAATCGGCGTTCTTACCCAGATGTCCATAGCCAATTATGCCGATCCTCCTAGGGGCCATGATGACTAAGGTGGAACTAGTGCAGGAGAATAATAAATGGTGGAGCAAGTGAGGAGGAGCCAGCCAGCCTTCCCCAGGCACTCCAGCACAACAACACAACTGCTAAACAAGGTTCAAATACAAGTTATCTCATCCATTTGAGAAGAGATAGAACTTTCCTGCCAGGAATATTGTGTGGAGCTTCACAAGGTGTGCCTCACCTGCGTCACAACACTTGCTAATGACATATACAAGTCAAAATAAGTATTATTTACGAGCGTAGTGTATCAAGTGTGGCTGAGACAGTGTTTACGTGATGACTGGTGGTGGGAGGCTCTCTGGGGTCTAGTGGTGGGAGGCTCTCTGGGGTCTAGTGGTGGGTGGCTCTCTGGGGTCTAGTGGTGGGAGGCTCTCTGGGGTCTAGTGATGGGAGGCTCTCTGGGGTCTAGTGGTGGGAGGCTTTCTGAGGTCTAGTGATGGGAGGCTCTCTGGGGTCTAGTGGTGGGAGGCTCTCGGGGGTCTAGTGGTGGGAGGCTCTCTGGGGTCTAGTGGGAGGCTCTCTGGGGTCTAGTGGTGGGGGCTCTCTGGGGTCTAGTGGTGGGAGGCTCTGGGGTTTAGTGGTGGGAGGCTCTCTGGGGTCTAGTGGTGGGAGGCTTTCTGGGGTCTAATGGTGGAAGGCTTTCTGGGGTCTAGTGGTGGAAGGCTCCCTGGGGATCTAGTAGTGGGAGACTTTCTGGGGTCTAGTGGTGAGAGGCTCTCTGGGGTCCAGTAGTCGGAGGCTTTCTGGGGTCTAGTGGTGTACCTAAATAAACTTACTTATCCTGCCCTTTCGATCTAATCTGAATGCATCCATTTCCTCAGGCACTATGTGACCTCTACGGGTTTAGTGCTTCCCCATGATTAAAATAATACAAAAAAATAAAATCCCACCATGGAGATTCAATTCGAAATCTTTATTTCGTTTTGCCACAACTATTGTAAACAAGAAGGGTATCTCCATCAGCAGTATGATCCTGGGATACGAGATCAACAGATTACCCCGCTCCACATCACACATCACCGTAAAGGTAAACTTAGCAAAAGTCCACCTCAGCCAACTATACAGGTTTCATCAAGCTCTCACTCATATCAAGAAGCACCTATATAAGATTATGATAAAGCCTATGCTTGAATATCCTTGTGTGCCCATGTTACAAACAAGAAAATCTATGTTACAGCTACAAAGAGTCTCTCCGCTTTATCACAGGCACCAGACTGAGGGACAGAATCAGAATGGAGAATCTACACATCCAACAGGAGATCGACGTAATAAATGTCAGACTAGACAAACTAAAGACGAGACAGTTATATGACATGCAAGAACTCTATATATCAGACAGAGAAAACCCTCCCCAGCCAACTAACACCGACTACATCATCAATACACCTCCCCACAGGACCCACAGGATGTCCCTCCAACAGAGTCCAACGTTTCGCGCACAAAGAGAACTTCCCGAGACCGAAGATTCTGAGTGACCTCCCTGAAGATATAGAAGAATGGGTACCACCAGTGCCAGTCTATGTCCAAGACGGATAAAACCACTCCAATTATGGAGACCTTACATCTAACCATATAACATCTGCAAACCTCCTACGGCAGGACACTGCCTCAGAAACAGTTCAGCCGACCATCTGCTTCAGCAAAGCAGCCGACTACCACCACCAGCTCCAGTAAGGGCCCTGCAATCACCAGCTCCAGCAAGGGCCCTGCAATCACCAGTTCCAGCAAGGGCCTTGCAATCACCAGCTCCAGCAGGCACCCTATAACCAGCCTTTGCAACCTCCCTCCTGCAAAAAAAAGGCAATAGGAAAAACTATACCCACTACTAATTCATCGCCATGCATGCAACTTGTATACAGGTGTGCTGCTGACGAGTAGTGGGGGATACCCCATCCTGTGATTATCAAGAACAGCATAACACAACACACACCCTTACTAAAATGCACCTCCGTGATTAGGCCACTTACTTTTATTAGCCCTTCTCCCTTTCCCCATCCACACTTTTTCCACATTCTGTTCTTACCTATCCTACTTCCTTTCTCAACTCACCAAGCCTATGGTTAAAACTACGTACTACCACTGTCCACTGTCAGGGAGGGGGTATACATACCACGTCAAAGGAGAACCTAGCATAGATACGGTGGTCCGGTGGTCTGGTGGCTAAAACTCCCGCTTCACACACGGAGGGCCCGGGTTCGATTCCCGGCGGGTGGAAATTCTGACACGTTTCCTTACACCTATTGTCCTGTTCACCTAGCAGCAAATAGGTACCTGGGTGTTAGTCGACTGGTGTGGGTCGCATCCTGGGGGACAAGATTAAGGACCCCAATGGAAATAATTTAGACAGTCCTCGATGACGCACTGACTTTCTTGGGTTATCCTGGGTGGCTAACCCTCCGGGGTTAAAAATCCGAACGAAATCTTATCTTATCTTAAAATCATAGCAGAAATTATCTATGGTATGCGGGGAATCTCTGCCATTTTTGCCTCTCTGTAGCCTAGACAGTGTCCTGCTGGGCAGGACACTGTCTAGGTTACAAGGGGTGAGAGTCCTTGAACAACTGCTGTGTGGATACCTCAGCTGGTATGTGGCTGGAGACCTCGGCTGCTATGAGGTTGTAGTCTTCACCTACTAAGTGGTTACATTACACATTACATTTCCACATTACATTGTGGAAAATTACATTTATTTGAATGTAACTCATTATGTACATAACAGTAAACGATAACAAAGATAATTATTATTTATCAGTTACATAGACAAGTAGGAATTTAGGACACTTAGGTCGCAAAAATGTTCCCCTTCGATACCTACAACTGTCTTATCCACAAGTTGCTCTAGACCTATTAATTACAAATGAAAGATGCATCAACAAGAATTCTGGTAAATATATAAATTTGTGGACTGTATATTAATATTAAAAAAATGATTATAGATACACATACACATAACAGAAGGAGAATATCTTAAAATCACTCACCAATTTGACTGGAGATCAAGGTGTATCATACTTAAGGCTCAGGGAGATTGACACCAGTGAGTCCATCTATCATCATTCTATCATGCAGGAGGAGCCACATGTCTATGGTGCATCCAACAAAATAAGCAGACTCTTGGATGTCACTACCGCCCGGCTCCGGCTGGGTTACAAGTATCTTTGGCAGGTTAAATCACCACCACCAGATGTAGACCAAACGAAATGTAAACTTTGCCAGATGGATTATTGTCACACCCTGCGTCATTATGTACTGGAGTGCGATAAAATTAATGAATTTAGAAACAACTCACTCAGAAGTGTTCAAGAAATGGCTAAGTATTTTATCCACAGTGGTATATTACAGACCATTCTGGAGAAATACCCTGACTTTGCTAGCTGTAAATAAAGCATTACCACATATGTGCATGTGTGTGTGTGTGTGTGTGTGTGTGTGTGTGTGTGTGTGTGTGTGTGTGTGTGTGTGTGTGTGTGTGTGTGTGTGTGTGTGTGTGTTTGTGTGTATGTGTATGAGTGTGTGAGTGTGTGTGTGTGTGTGTGTGTGTGTGTGTGTGTGTGTGTGTGTGTGTGTGAGTATGAGTGTGTGTGTGTGTGTGAGTGTGTGTGTGTGTGTATGAGTGTGTGTGTGTGTATGAGTGTGTGTGCGTGTGTGTGTATGAGTTTGTGTGTGTGTGTGTGTGTGTGTTTATGTGTGTGTGTGTATGAATTTGTATGTGTGTGTGTGTGTGTGTGTGTGTGTGAGAGAGAGAGACTCAGCAATCAACATTTGCACCAATAACTCACTACAGTTGTGACCGGGGTGGGAAGTGTGAATTGCTCATTACTCTAAAATTTGTTCATGATTGCAGCCATGTATAAACGTAAGTAACCATTCTTACAGTATTCATTACCTTTGTAACTTGTGAGTTCATTACCTTTGTAACTTGTGAGTTCATTACCTTGTACCTAGTTCAGCCATCAAAACTTTGGAGCCCGGTCCCTGGACCCATTGTGTACCTCTGTAAGCTGTAAATACCTTTGTAACTTGTCATGGTTGTGACTAGACCTACCTGGAGTTCATTACCTTTGTAAATTGTGAGTTCATTACCTTTGTAAATTGTGAATTCATTACCTCTGTAACTTGCTCAGCTATCAAAACTTTGAGGCCCAGTCCCTAGACCCATTATGTACCTCTGTAATCTTTTGACTACCGCCCACAGGATGGGTATGGGGTGCATAATAAACATATTAAACTAACTAACTAACTCAGAAAACCTCACTGTCTAAATTTATGAAAATACTGGCCAGAATTATAACACAAATCTAGATAGCTTATCTGAGGTTCCTGGAGCTGTCTTGTGCAGTCGTCTGATATCTCAAGTTATGCAGGAATGCACATCCAACAATTTCGTCTCCTATTTGAGAGGTGTCAGCCCAATTTTACCTCTAGAGCACGAAAATTCTCCCCAATATCTACTAACGTTTGTGTCCAATTCAAACAACAATGGCGAGTCTCTTCTGCGCAGGCGCAGTTTCCCATTTTTTATAACATAATTTTTATTAAATACAGTATGGCCATCTATTTACATATAACTACTGTATTTCTGGAAAATATATACAGTACTTTCCACAGGTTTCTTCTGGTAAACCATTCCTAATTTTGGGCCTAATGGTATAGAATTTCTACATAGCTCTCCTCAAGGCATTTACGTAACACAGAGAACCTTCATTGCTCTTATGGATTCGGTCAAGCTTTTGCCCTGCAGGGAGTGCTTGAAATCCCCTGAACTGTATGCACTCCTTGGAGCATAAGCGAGAAAGGTACATATGGAAAATTTTGGTGGAATAGGTCCTAAACCTGCTATTTGAAATCACTCTATGTGAGAGCAGGAGGCGCTTGGCAGACGGTGCAAAACCTTCACTGAAAAGCAATAGCACGAAGAGACTTGATAAATGTAAGAGGGGCCAAGACATTTCAATACGCTCCTTAAGTGCATACCTGGACGATGCTCCGGTGGTCAACGCCCCCGCAGCCCGGTCCGTGACCAGCCTGTTACTGATGGTCGGACGCAAACCGACGTACGAACCATAGCCCGGCCCCTAAGGTATGCTGGGAGGCAGTTGAATAGTCTTAGGCCCCTGACACTTTTTGTGTTGTCTCTTAGCGTATTCATGGCGCCCCTGCTTTTCATTGGGGGAATGTTGCACCGCCTGCCAAGCCTTTTCCTTTCATAGGGAGTGATTTCTGTGTGCAGATTTGAGATTAGTCCCTCTAAGATTTTCCAAGTGCATATTATAATGTA